CTCGGGGCTGCTGGCTTCGGTCACGACAGGGTATTTGATGAGTCGGATCCGGCCCGGCTGGATCATGCTGTTGGCCATGGTGGCGTTCACGCTGGGGAATATCTTTGTCGCGATTGCGCCGGTGCATCAAACGTATTGGGCGCTGACCTTTGTTTCGTTGGTGGTCATGCCGTGGGGGATGGACATGTCGTTTCCCGCGAGCACGGTGCTGCTGTCGAATGCGGTGGAGCGCCGGCACCAGGGCATTGCGGCTTCCTTGGTCACGACGGTGGTAAACTATAGTATCTCACTGGGACTGGGGTTTGCGGGGACGGTCGAGGTGCATGTCAACCATGGCGGAAAGACGTTCCATGATAGATTGCTGGGATATCGCGCGGCGCTGTACATGGGAATCGGACTGGGAGGGCTTGGGGTGGCCGTGAGTGTGATTTACCTCGTTAAGAGTATCCTGAAAAAGGAGCCACAGGGAGAAGAAAGTAAATAGATGTACATAGAGCATTAATCATAGAGTAATAAACCATCTACGCGCACATATCAAAGCAAGGATCATCATCGTCCGACTTAGGCAGCAGATACTACTGAATAGACGATAAGAGTCTAGACTCAGGTCCAGCCATGGTTTAACCTAACTAAGCACTAAATTAATAAAAGAATTAAGAATTAAGTTGTAACTCGTCGTATAAAAAAGAAGGGACAAAAAAAAGATTTGAATGAATGACAAGAGTGGGATTCGAACCCACGCCATCATACGATGATGAGGAAATTCTAAGAATTTGGTATTAAGGTGGACCTTAACCTCACGCCTTAGACCAACTCGGCCATCTTGCCTTGTATGTTCGGTCTGGTTTATTTAATGGTATAGGTGGGATCCTCATAACTCATCTAGACAGCCAATGGTAGATTGCAAGATGTGGTAGTAATAATAAGTCCAGCAGCCAGGGGTGACTCTGCAGACAGGGTATGATTTCGATCTGAAGAACCCCGTATTTCCCGTCTTTGGTCTTAGACTGTATCCTCAGACCTCACCGCGAGCATCAAGTCAATCAAGGGTGCTCCTGCCGCCACATGGGGCGGAAAAAATACTTTCTTGTTCAACAATATTGTAAAGCAGCCGATTGGCATGCCCACTGGCAATGTACAAGGGGAAATACCACGTGCAAGCTGCGCGCATGTACGGTTCGATAGGTCATCGATACCCCGGATTTTGGGCTAGTCGTGCCCCGCACGTATCCATCAGCCTTATGGCAGCCACCTCCGTGATACCTGTTCATCTGACACCGAATAAACCAATTCAGATATGGGATTTAGATATCCATGTCGATCATCTGTGTCCCGCGTATATGGTTCAGTCGTACGACAGCGGAAGCGCCTTCATCCGAGTCTGAAGTCTCTTTTTTGCACCATCCGGAGGAGATCCGGCCTCGGTAGCCGGATAATGGGTTTCCAGAGTCATAACTACTATTCATCGATCATAAATTCACAATTCCAAGCATAAGAACGATGATCTACACTACCCCGCAATCTTCCTCGGTCTGCCATGCCGTGACAGTGCTCATCGTCATATGAAGATGCCACGAAACAGAACTTTCCTTCAACCGAAGTGTTGAGATACTCTCTGACATCAGAAATGTGACCTGATAATTTTGGACCGTATCCGAACGAAGACGGCCCAGATAGAGTAGATTAAATCGACATGTGCATGTCTGATACAGCATGTATAAAGGCAGCTAGCCCTTCATGAGGGAGAGTAGATCAGCCTGAGCATCACAAAGAATCATCCATCATCATGGATAAACTACAGCTCACACTTCAGGCGGTTCAGCACCAAAGCATGCATATCCTCAACCAATACACCAAACACCCGTGGCTCTACACCGCAGCATGCCTCGTAGTCTACCTAGCCCTCACTCTATCCCTCCGCTTCCAACGCCTCCGCAGCATCAAAGCCCGATACCGCAAGTACTCGACCCGGGAATCCTTGGCCAGCATGACCGGTCACGACGCCTGGGCTATCCAGAAACAAATCCTCCAGCTCGAGTTTCCATTCACAGCGCTGAAAGCCCTCCAGTTTGCTCTCTTCCGCGTACCCTACCTCTACTCCCCCTCTCCACCCTCCTGCAGTTTTATACTGATTGAAGTCCAGACGTACGGCATCCCAAGCATCTCCGCCCTCCTCTTGCAGACCTCACAATTCTCCAACCCTGCAACCAGCTTCAAACGCTACGCCGACACCGGCATCCTAATCGGTGAGTTCATGGGCTTCGAGCCCACCTCGGACAGGGCGATCACCGCCCTCGCGCGCACTAAGCTCCTGCACGCGGGGTATCGAGCCAGCGGGAAGATCCTCGAGACGGACATGCTGTATACGCTGAGCCTGTTTGCGCTCGAGCCGGTGCGGTTCGTGGAGAGGTACGAGTGGCGGGGGCTGAGCGCGCTGGAGAAATGCGCGGTGGGCACGTACTGGAAGAGTGTGGGGGATGCGCTGGGGATTAGCTATGAGGTGTTGCCTGGTGGGCCGGATGAGTTCCGGGATGGACTTCAGTGGTTGGAGGAGATGGGGGACTGGAGCCGGCGGTACGAGGAGGAGCGGATGAAGGCGGCGCCGCCGAATCGGGCGGTGGCGGATAAGACGATGGATGTGTTGGTTTATGGGATGCCGGGGTGGGTGAAGGGGTTTGGGGTGAGTGTTGCGACTTGTGTGATGGATGAGAGGTTGAGGAAGGCTATGATGTTGGTCTTTCTGCTTGTATGGTTGTGGATGATGATGATGCTGATGTTGGTAGGTATGATCCGCCGCCGCGGGTGATCAAGGCCATCTTCGGAGCTGCGGTGGTGATCCGTCGGTTTTGCCTGCGGTATCTTGCTCTCCCGCGGCCGTATTTTATGCGCCTTGATGTGTTCACGGAGAAGCCGAATGAGTTCGGTCGACACCATGTGCAGCAATGGAACGGGATGCCGTACTATGTGCAGCCGACCCTGTGGAACCGATGGGGTCCGTCGGCGTGGGTGCAGCGGCTGATGGGATTGCCGTTGCCTGGTGACGAGGGAGACAAGTACTATCCCCGGGGATACTACACGCCGGACGTCGGGCCCAAGTATTTCGAGGGCAAGGGACGGAAGACCCTGGAGGAGATCAAGGAGAAGTTGAGAGTGCAGAGGACAGGCAAGTCGCCATTCATTAAGCTATAGTATTAGACGGGGTATAGTTCGTTATAAATGCAACGTTTCTTAAAGATATACCATCAGAACTCCAGTTCCCAGCACGACAGACAGAGACAACACAGTCTCCCATCCAAGTCTGCGGTTTGCATTTGCAGCATTAGGATTGCCTCCAGCACCTCCCATGACTCCATTGACCGAAATGGCACCACCCCCGTTACCGCCACTGCCACCGTTGCTGCCAGCATTACCGTTACTACTACTACTGCCATCATCCCCCGACGAAGTCGAAGTCGACCTGCTGGCCGTCGCAGCGTTCGTCGGCGTCACCAGGTTTGTCGCACTAGCAGGCGTGTAGAAGCTCATCGTGGCCGAGAGCCGCGTAAACGAGGACGAAGCGTCCGACCCATCCGTTGCTTGCACCGAAACAATCGTCGACGTAGTCGTGACAGTCGACGTGCGAATCGAAGCTGTCACAGGGGCATAGTACGTGTAAAACGTGACCCAGTATGTCCTATTCCCGTCAGTCGTCTGCCAGATTTCAAATCCACAAAAAGATCATACCATGTCACTGTCCACGAATACCAAGTCCACTCCACCCCGGTATAGGTCGTCGTGTGATAGGCCGTGGTGTAGTGATTCTCCGTCTGCGTGTAATGATTCACCGCGTTCGCCTGCGCGCAATTACCGTTGGGACAGCAGCCCAGTCTCCCGTTGACGGTCATGCATCGCTCGCCCAATGGACAGTACCCCTGTACGCCGCAGCACTCCGCTCCGTGGGGCATGCACCCCGTTCCGCAGCAGTGCTCGCCCGAGTTGCAGAAGTAGCTTCCGCAGCAGACGTCGCTGAGGGACCAGACGCACAGCCCATTGTCGCAGCAGATGTTGGTTGAGCAGGTCGATGGGCAGGTCCAGCGCTTGGCCAGGGGGTCGGATACGATGTCTGTTGTGGGCTCGGAGACGAGTGTGTTGTTGGGAATGCGGACAGGGACGAGGGGATTAAGGGCGAATGCCCCAGAAACGAACAAGAGTACGGACGATGGCTTCATTTTGGCTGCAGGGGTTCGTCCTTGCAGAGCAGAAGAGAAATTTTTGTGGAGACTGGAAAGGAAAAGGTGCTAGGGGTCTAGGGGTCTAGGGGTCTAGGAGTCTTGTTTATAGGCGGTTGAGCCTCAGCGATCTAATTGCAGCCATTATAGACGTTCTGCTTTTTTTGCATGTCAACACTCGGCTGATTGGCTCTACAGATCAACCAGGACGGACACTAAGCAGCTATACGAGACCCTACAGGACCAGGTGGCACAAGGATGAAGTTGGACCAATGGTGATCCGCTGTAGATCGTATTTAAGGTGCACTAGACGGTGGAGACGAGAGATCGGCAGCGTGCAAGGCAGTCTGGTAGATATTGGAAATAGTATCATGGAGCAAATCTCAAAGATAGAATGTTGACTATCTGTGGATAGTTTAGATACTCTTTTTAAAGCTAAGCTTTGTCTGCGGGTTGATTGATTCAAGGCGTGCATCTAGGACCCAACCATATATTGATGTAGCTATGTACAAGCACTCAGCACCAAGTACCAAGCACCAAGCACTAACAGTCCCTTTATGCCTATCTACTATCAGGGCTCTAACTACTTACGGTACTATTAATGAGATAAGCTGCAGCATGAGTGGTTGCATCAGTGGCATTTGATTTCCCCGCATTCGGACACAGCTCCACAGTCGTGGTATGACGACACCAGTCAGGCCACAGTATAACTCAAATCATACAACACATAATGGATGTCTAACCGATCAATTCAAAACCCTTGACCTGATCGCATTAACTTGATATTATAAAATGTCCCATCCATCGTCACGAGCCGCGTCGCTGTTCAGCTCGCGCCCATCCACCCCAGTCCCTAGTACGGTCTCTCGCGATCCTGATTCCCTCGATGTCTGGATTCTAGGGAGTGGACTAGCCTCGCTAAGCGCGGCCTTACACCTCATCAGAGAGGCCAAGGTGCCTCCGTCGAGGATCCACATCCTCGAAGCGCTGAACGAACCAGGCGCGGGATCGGTGAGTAAAGGGGATGCCGAGTCGGGCTACCTCTTTCGTGCAGGATGTACCCCTCAGTTTTGCGGGAGCCAGACGGAGGAATTACTCGCGCTGGTGCCGTCGGAGAGGCCCGGGAAAAGCGTCTGGGATGATATCCGGGAGTACTTTCAAGAACATGTACCGAAGCGGGCGTCGCGGACGAGGTTCCTGGCTCGGCGGAAGAACGGGCTGCAGCGTATTGAAGGACGGAGACTCCATTTGGGGCTCAAGGATAGGATGGACCTATTCCGGCTGTCGTCCAAGGCGGAGAGTGCGCTTGGCCGGTCCCGCATTCGTGACCATTTCTCCGAAGGGTTCTTCAGGACGGAGTACTGGTTGGCGCTGGCGACGCTGTAGGTTGTCGTTGCACTCAAACGTCGGGATATTAACCGGAGTAGGTTCGGTTTCCGGCCATACCACAGCGCTGCCGAGTTCCGTCGCTTCGTCCAGCATTTCCCGCATGATATCCAGACCCATCATCCTCGTCCCCTGGACCGTGTCCGTTTCAACTTGCATGACTCCGTTATCGCCCCGATTGCTCGCTTCCTGCAGGCAGAGGGAGCAGATTTTCGCTTCAACACCATCACGACTGATATCATCGTCGAGCCAACACAGGATCCTACTCGCGTGACAGCCTTGCGGACGGTGCACAAAGACGAGCGCGAGGTGACCATTGATCTCGACCCGCACGATATAATGATGGTCTCCATTGGATCCGTCTTGTCCGGTGCCTCCCACGGATCGAACACAGAGGCACCCTCGCTGGAGATGATGGAGATCGAGAAAGACCTCGACGAAAACTGGCTGTTGTGGCTGGAACTCGCGACCAAGCATCCCAAGTTCGGCAACGCATACAACTTTTGCACGCGACTGCACGAGTCCCGCATGGGATGCTTTACCGTCACAGTCAAGAATCCGGCTATCTTCGAGAAGATGCTCCAGATAATCGGCGATGATCCTGAGACTGGCTCCCTGGTCACCCTGAGAGATAGCAGCTGGTTGTTGACGCTAAGTCTGCCCCGGCAACCGCTGTTCCCGGATCAACCGGACGGGATTCGAGTATTCTGGGGTTATGCGCTTAACCCCGAGGACGAAGGGGATTTCGTCAAGAAACAGATACTATCCTGCTCAGGCGAGGAGATAATGACCGAGGTTTTGCATCAGCTTGATCTCCCAGTCGACGAAATCCTGCCTCAGACAATCACCGTTCCATGTGTGATGCCGCGATGGACGTCCATCTTACTGCCGAGGAGTGACGGCGATCGGCCCCAGGTGGTTCCCCGGGGAATGACCAACATGGCGCTCATCGGGCGGTTTGTAGACATCCCCGAGGAGGTGGTCACCTTGGACTATACGGTGCGAGCAGCGCAGATGGCGGTGAACCAGCTGATGGGACTGGAGAGGGAGATGAAGAAATCGAAGAAGGGATCTGCGGTGAATCTGCTGGGGTTTCCCTAGGACTAGTAGATTTTTGCTAGGATGTATAATATGATGACTTAGTGGTCTAGATTTGAGATATCCTGTATATGGCATGAGACAATAAATCTCCCGATACTAGATAATATTCCTTGTGATTGGACCGGGTTAAGGGCGGTTACCGAATGTCAGATGCCTCGGTCCATTGTGATAACCTAAGCCTTTACTCCCCGCATTCCCAGACGCTACTTAGTAAAGAACTTCCCCAGATTATGACAAGCTATTGATAGAGAATTATGGATCCAGCAACTTCATCGCAGCCTGCCACCGCGGACCGGGGCTCCTTCACCACCCCCGAGCCGCTGCAAAATACATATACATCTGATGCGAATCTCCATCGCCTGCTTTCATGTGAGTTTGCAGCAGATTATATGAGAAAAACCTACTAACGTCAAAGGGTACCTCCCATCATCGACTTATCAATCCATTCAGTCCAACCTCGCCCGGCTCGGCGATGAAGCCATCTCGCCTCAAATCCGCGAATGGAGCGCCGACGCCGAGCGCCACCAACCCTACGTCAAGGGATATAATGTCTGGGGGCAGCGATACGACTATGACCGATTGATCACCAGCGAGGGCTGGAAGCAGCTGAGCCGATGGGGTGCTCGACATGGGTATTTCATCTGTTCATTCCCTTACGTCCAGAACTAACCCAAGCAGCGTGGTGGCATTAGGCTACGATCAGAGCTACGGCGCCTCCCGCCGTCTGGTGCAATACACCGTCAATTATCTCTACGGGCCTTCGTCAGGCATGACGTCCTGCCCCGTCGCCATGACCGACGGCGCGGCGCTGATCCTCTCCCAACAACTGCAGCAACAATCCGTCCCAGACGACCATCCCTTCCGCGTCGTCTTCAACCATCTCACCTCCCGCAACGAAGACTTCTGGACCTCAGGCCAATGGATGACCGAACGCGCCGGCGGCAGCGACGTCCAAAACACCGAGACATGGGCCACTCACGACCCCAGCACCAGCTCCAGCACCAGCACCCTCGGCGAAGGCGAGTACAGCATTAGCGGCTTCAAATTCTTCTCCTCGGCAACAGACGCCAACGTCACCCTCCTCCTGGCCAAAACCGCCCCATCCGGAAAACTGAGCACCTTCCTCGCGCCGCTCCGGCGCACCGTCGCCCTCCCCAACCAGCCCGCCCGCGAAGTAACCAACGGGGTCCGCATTCACCGCCTCAAAACTAAGATCGGGACCAAGGAACTCCCCACCGCGGAGCTGGAGCTGCGGGACATGCGCGCGCACCTCGTCGGGCAACGCGACAAGGGCGTCGCGACCATCGCGCCTTTACTCAATGTCACCCGCACGCACACCTTCGTCGGCTCGCTGGGTGCGTGGCGCCGGGCGCTGAGCATCGCGAAGGCGTTTTCGCGCGCGCGCAGCACAGTCGGCGAGCCGCTTTGGTTGATTCCGATGCATTTGCGGCTGTTGGCGGAGGTGGAGGTGCGGCATCGGGCGGCGATGCAGTTGGGGTTCTTTACGGTGGGGGTGATGGGGGTTGTTGAGAATCCTGCGGACACGACAGCAGTACCTGGGCATGTGCCTAGGGGCAATGAGGCGACGGTTGTCTTCCGGGCGTTGACGGCCGTGTCCAAGGCGGTGATTAGCAAGATGGCGATTTTGGGGATCCAGGAGTGTCAGGAGGCGATGGGCGGTGTGGGGTATATGGACGAGCCGGACGAGCCCGAGTTCAATGTCTCGCGGTTGCTGAGGAATACCGCGGTGAATAGTATCTGGGAGGGGACGACGAATGTGCTGGCCAGCGAGATGGTGCGGTTCCTGCTGGCTAGGGATAATTTCGCGGTGTTTGCTGGGTGGGTTGAGCGGGTGGTGGGTATGATACGGAGGGAGAAGTTGGCGCAGGCGTTGCGCCAGGCCTGGACGGCGTTCAAGGGCAAGGTGGCCAGGGATGTTGCGTCGGTTCTGGCGGACGGCCGTCGAGTCATGTTTACTCTGGCGTGGATTCTGATGGGGGCGTTGCTGGCTTTGGATGCCGAGCGAGATGGGGATCCGGTGGCGGTGGAGGTTGCTCGTCGGTGGATTCTGGCTGGCGAGGGAGGAGTCGGAGACACGGTGCACAGGGATATTGTGAAGCCATATGGGGCAGAAGACGAGAAAGATCATGCCAGCTGGGACTGCCGGATTGTCTGGGGAGAGGAATTGCCCGAGAGACAGGTGGCCGGCCATCGTTCTCTTAAGAACCAGAACAAGCTGTAGCATTCTCTTCATACATCATATCATATCATATCATATCATACAGTTAGGTGTCAATCAAATATCCAACAACCAAGACCCGCTCCAGTCAAACCCCGACCCCTCCCAATTCTGGTCCAAGATGTCCATGTACCCATCGAACGGCATCACATCGCGCCTTGCCGTCTCCAAACTCGAGACCTGGCTAGAAAGTACCCTATCTCCCTGTATCACCCCCCACTGCCGACAAAGCCGCCGATCGATTCCATTGAAGAAATCCACCAGACCTGGCCCCAGACTCGGCACATTCCCCTCAAACAAGGGCTGTCGCCGCACCTGCTTCGTCAACCTGTCGAGCGCCTGGATCGGGCCCACCGCCGAGCGCCAGCGCTTCGACAGCGTCTGCAGACAAAGCTTGATAATGGACAACTCATACTCGGCTGTTTCCTTAAGCGGCTCGTATCTATACGCCGACAGCAGCGACAGCCCGGCACTGAGCCCGTACAGCGCAAAGATCGGACCGAGATACTGCAGTTGGTCCTTCTGGTGGAAGTCCTCGAAGATCCCGGCGATGCAGGACGCCGCGACAAGGGACGCCGCCGACGGGATGCTGTTGGGCGTGGGCGAGCGGTGCAGGATGATTAGTATGGCCAGGTAGACGATCAGAAGCTGGTTGATCTCGAACTCGTGTGTGGAAGAGATACTGTCCGGTGGTGGTGCAGCGCGGAGGGAAGGGAGGGACTGGTTGATCCATCGGTAGAGGGCATTTTCGAGCTGGCTGCGGCGGTCTAGGGACATGGTCTTGCGGAGACAGCCCTCGACTGTGTCTCCTAGCAGCAGACAGATCGTCGTGTAGGCGACGAAGAGCTGCGACTTGTCGTTTGGGACGTCAAAGTCGTCCACGCTTGGCGGGAGGACGTCGCTGTCGCTGAGGTTGATGGTCCGGGGTCGTCCCGTGCCGGCGGAGATGATATTATCGCGGACCTACGCCGTCAGTGTATGCTTTACCGTAAATTGACATGACATACGACTAAAGCCCACCAGAGCCTTCTCCGCAGCCCCCGGTCCTTTGCATTCGCGGCAGGCTCCTTGTGCAATCCGATCTGAAACGCCATGGCGCCAGCCGTGCGGATCCAGAACCCGCTCGTGTCAGTCGAGACCTTCTCCGGACCGACGGGGTTATACCAGTGCAGCAGGCACGCCGAGACGATGGAGATAAGCGAGTTGTTGCCGCTCCCGAAGAAATAGAGCAGCTTCGCCTTGCGGTAAAAGTCCTTACTTGATACGTCTTCCGAGGGCGCAGACACACGACTCCCTGCGAGCAAGACGGCCTGCAACAGCAACGGAGAGGGCGACTCCGCGGCCAACCAATCCGGGTCGATGATCGGCGTCCACGGCGCGCAGTACCGCATAAAGCAGTCGATGAGATGGTCCTGGACGGGTTTGGGCGGGAGATCAAACACCCGCTGGTGCTGGAAGAGCTGCATGTCGTCGTGGTTGTCGGTGTCGAGGGCATCCTGGCCGGACTGCACCAGGGTCTCGTCAAAGGGGACACTCCCGCTGAGGTACTCGCTGCGGCCGCTGTAGCTTTTTTCAGTGGAGATGGGTGCGGCGGGACTGTATGCAGTGCGCGGGTCCTCCCGGGAGGGGGACAGGCTGTTGGTGATTCTTTTGCGTTTGCGGGTGAATGGGCTGATGTGTCAGTAGAGGACGATCTTGTCGAGGAGAGGCTTACAGGCACTCGGCCTTTGCTTTGATGCAGTTGCTACATGGCTGCTGTTTCTCCAGATCGCATTTCACCTGCAGGACTTAGGAGACGCATCACATATTTGGGGGCATACTCCGTACCTTTCTCTTGTGACAGATAATGCATGCTCTGATGACTGCTGGCATATTCCATATCTAGTCTACCCCGTTCTTCGTTTATCGATTATAGTTGATATCACATGGACATGGACGATGATGAGGTCCAAATAACCGGCCATTGCCGAGGAAACAGGTGGGCCGGACGAGGCACCAATCAGATTGCAGGATGCAATTCTACAATTCATACAATATCAAGTTGATTGACTTCTGAGGAATGGCTGATATCTTGTAGACAGACCCGAAAGAAGGTTATAAATGATTGAAGTGACCAAGCTTGTTCGTACCATGCCCTAATTCTCCGAGTGTTGCATATGCCAGGACAACTCCAGAAAAATACATATATACATATTTTTTTTGCTAATTCCATATGTTCATGTTCTCTTAACTGCATACTAGTCAGTAAAATATAGAATCTAACTTAGGAATAGGGTAATAGGTAGGAAGATCCTACCATATTAGGCAGTTAAATGTCACACCCTGGGATCCGTCTCTGCTGTTTTCTGCTAGTCACTACTTTGGGAGGGTGATATAGTCTCTGGACTATATCCGATACTTGCCTGAAACCTACCGACCAGGTAGCCTAATACTATACTAGCCAGGTATATAACTGACCATACTAATACAATGGCCTATACTTAATAGTAAGAGAGTACTGATGAATTAGACTAGTGAACTGTGAACTTGTATTCACGTGAGATATTGATGTTGAATATGAGGAACTAAACTAAACTAGGAGTGCTAGATATAATGGTAAAGACCTTATATGGTTCCTCCTTCTAGGTACCTTGAGGCTTTTCAAAGGTCCTATAATAGACTGCTACCTGTACAGTAGTCCTTGTTGATTCTATCTACCCACAGTCCTACATGGACCGATGTAACGTTAGTCTTGGCATTAGGGACCATAGGGTTGGTTACCTAGCCGCCCGCTGGTGCCTGTAATATTTGTAGTATGTCAGACTGCACCGCCTTCTTGTTTGCCTGTCCAACCATTTCATGTCGAGTGCAGGTGTTTCCGCAGGGGTACTGGGCGGTTGGCCAGCAACGTCTGTTCCATCCATGGGGGTTTGCCATACATCAAGTAATGAAATTTGCCATCTTCGCTCATATAGCGCTTTCAGGGCGGCTACTCTGCACCGGGGCTGCACAGCCCCGGCTCGATTGCTGCCAATGCGCCTTGCACTCCTCCCCAACTTTTCGAGTCTGTCCATCCAGAATCCATCCAGACAGTCTGATACGCTTTCTCATAATCAGCTCCTCTGTCAGGATATGAGGCTTGAGAGCAGGCAAATTCAAAGGCTTCTTGAATTCTTGAAGGCTGAGTCGATTGTTGAAGACAGTCTATCACGTAGTAAAGTAGGCAAAATCAAGTGCGCCGACCACCAGATACGCTGACAACCTCAAGGTACAATGGAGATCAAAACGAAACGTCTATCTCATGATGCATATACAGTGGCGCTGCTCACCCCCCTCGAGATTGAGTTGAGTGCAGTGAGATATATGCTCGACGAAGAACATCAGCCACTACCGAGCGCCCACGGTGACCCAAATAACTACGTTCTGGGACGGCTCTGTCAGCACAATGTCATTATCGCGTCCTTGCCTGCCGGCTATCAAGGTACGATCTCCGCTGCGGTCGTCGCACGAGACTTAGCGCGCACCTTCCCGTCAGTCACGCTTCGATTGCTCGTGGGCATTGGAAGTGGCGTGCCTAGCGACACTACCGACATTCGTCTGGGAGATGTGGTCATCAGTGTTCCAACTGGAATTCAGGGTGGCGTTGTGCAATACGATCTGGGAAAGCAGACCACAACTGGATTTCAACGCAAAGGATTCTTGTGCCCCCCGCCCAATGAATGGCTGGCTATTCTCCCGAAAATGCAGTCTGATCACCGCGTGCGGACTAATATGGTTTCAAGTCACATAGGAGATATGCTGAGAAGATTTCCAGCATTGTCCGAGTATAAGAGACCGTCGCCTGAGATGGACATCTTGTTCAAGTCCGACTACGACCATTGCATAGATCAGCCAACTTGCCAGTCCTGCGATAGACAAAAGGCAGTTCCCCGGCGGAAACGCAGCGCTCTGGATCGACCTTTCATTCATTACGGGGTCATTGCATCAGGGGATCGCATGATGAAGAATGCAAAGGAGCGGGACATGATCAGTAAGAGTAGCGAGGGCGCGATCTGTTTTGAGATGGAGGCAGCGGGCCTTATGAATGATTTCCGCTGCATTGTTGTTCGTGGAATCTCCAACTATGCGGACTCGCACAGAAACGATATTTGGGATCCCTATGCCGCTGCAGCTGCCGCGGCTCTTGCAAAAGAGCTCCTTTCGTATCTGGAGGTATCGAACAGTAAGTGCTATGTAATGATAATATCCAGGGGGGCTATGAGAAAGCTGACCAAGGATGTCAAAATGCGGGCAGCCACCATTCAATCCCCTCGTGCGACTGCTGCCTTGAAGGCGTTCTACACTGAAGGGAAGCGGCTTAATATAGAACGTATTTCGGGTCAACAACTCCCAATGAGTCACTGTTATATAAATCTGGCGCTGGTGAAGCGCTCACTCGAGGTCAGCGAGAATCATCAATCATTCTCTCTCATGTCACGCCTCAAGGTGCAAGCGGAGAAGGAGTCAGACATAATCCCCTTGCCTTCACTATTTGAACCACGCACTGGATCATCTCAGACGCCTTCGGTGCCCAAACGCATCCTAATAGAAGGGCGGGCCGGAGTAGGAAAGACGACTCTCTGCAAGAAGATCGTCTATGACCACCTCCATCATCAAATGTGGAGCCACCTTTTCGACTGGGTATTGTGGGTTCCATTGCGCAAGCTGCGGCGAAGATTGGAAATGGCAGTTGCGTACAACTTGGAAAGTATGTTTTATGACGAATATTTCTCGCAACAACCTGATGGCAAAGACTTGGCACGAGCATTGTCGCAGGCTGTCAACGACCCCTCCCTTAGCAACCGAGTACTTTTCTTGCTCGATGGTCTCGATGAATTCTCCAGTGAATGGGATACAGGCACGCCAATGCACGATTTTGTGTCCCATCTGCTGAAGCAACCGCAGGCCATTATCACGACAAGACCCCGCTCCTCGGATCAAATCGATCTAGGGACTATCGATCTCGAACTAGAAACTATAGGATTTCTTCCTGACCAGGTAAACAACTACATCAACCACCCAGAGATTGTACCTGACGGTGGAACTGCGAGGGAGATTGAGTCTTTCTTGCAAAAGCATCCATTTATGCAAAGCCTCATGCGAATCCCTATCCAGCTAGATGCACTATGCTATAGTTGGAAGCGAGCCTCATTGGAAGGGAAGCCGCCGACAATGACCAGCATTTATCAGGCAATTGTGCTGAAGCTGTGGAGAAAGGACGTTCTGCAGCTGGGCATTCGAGATGACCAAGGAATGCCGCTAACGGAAGGGAGAGTGAAAGACATCTTCGAGTCTGACATTGAGGATTATATACTCAATGAGATCAACCTAATCGAGGGACTCGCCTTCCACGGGCTCACCAATGATATTATCGAATTTCGGTGGAAAGACCGAGAATCGTTCTACAACCTTTTCAAACAGCACGGAGAGAAGCTTCCTCGCGCTGGCGACCGTGTGCTTCGGAAGGTCTCATTTCTGTGTACCTCAGACGATACTCTCCAGAGACACGAGCAAAGTTTTCGTTTCCTTCACTTGACCTTCCAAGAGTTCTTTGCTGCGAGATATTTTGTCAGGCACTGGCTACAGAACAAGTCTCTCCCGCTTTTTCGTGTGGGTCAACAATCAACGAAGGACTGTTTAATGGCACCCCGACTGTTCCTTCAGGCAAAGAAATACGATTTGCACTATACTATCTATTGGCGTTTTGTGACAGGGCTTTTACAAAACGGCTGGCAGTCAAATGCTCCAAGCGGAGAGTTGGTAAGAGATTTCTTCGATCAACTAGACCGTGAGCCTCGCCACGAAGATTCTATGCTCAGACGGTACGCAGCCAGCGCTTTTTTTCAGAGGTCTCTTTCCCGAAATGTCATCCAGGATCTGCTACCGCTGCTACTGCATCGTGATGAGAATATCAGCGCCGATAGTACTCTCGGCCTAAAGGCAGCGGCCGACCATCCTGGGGACGTTATTCGAGATCTGATGTTACTCTTTCGGGAAGATAAGATTGTCTATCCCGACGACACGCCAGCGCCGATTTCAGCACCTCAAAACAAATTCTCAGATAGCACTATCCTGACTCTCGGTACGCATCTCAAGGATAACCTAGGCCGTGTACGCTACAGGGCGGCGGCCGCTTTAGAGCTCGAAAAGACTTTACTCCCTGATGGGATTATTCATAACCTGGTACAGCTCCTCGAAGATGAATCTTCAAGTGTACGGTCCAATTTCGAGAGTGACCAGCAAAGAGAGCATTTCATTCAGGTCATTCGACAGGTGCAGATGGGTCTGGGATTTCCTACCGCTGGCACAAGCTCTGATGAACAGTCGACGGTACCGAGTCTGGTCACCCGCAAGCGATCTGTCAAATCTGCGGGGTTTGCAAGCGTCCTCAACTCTCCTTTGGACTCGGAACGTAAAGCGGGCGTGGTCAGCCGCCTCAAATGCCTCAGATATACTGGCAGGATCCTCGTTCTTGCTACTATTGCAGTCTTCATCCAGGTGTTCCAGGTGTGTAGTTCACCACCCTTCCCTGCGTCCAGTGATGCCTCATCTAACTAGTCGCGTAGCTATTCCTCATGGTCTTAATTTAGATAGTCTCCCACAAGCAGCACATCTCTGGGGGTGGTCTTGATACTAAAGTCCACGGCGCTGAAATACAGCAGATGTCAGAGACTGGTCTGTAGTAAGTGTAAAATAGCTAATGCACAGTAACTACCTAGTCGTTATAGAGTCCTAACCCATAGTTAGGTGGCTACGTATGTTAGGGTAGTTCTTTTAGTCCTGGGTTGTTGCTCCAGTTATTCTATAGAAATTGTATAATATCTATAATACCTAGGATTAGTGATTGGCTGCGTAATTAACAGGTAAGTTCACCAACGGCCACGCGCAGTATTAGAGTGGGATCCCAGATATATTTAGAGCTACGGTCTTCAACCACACTAAGGATAGTATCAAGTACCTCATCCTCACTAATATGTGGCCCGACTTTATCCATGACGGCAGGATTAGCCCAATCGTCGCTGCGGAGTAGTTAGCTCAGGAGTCTGGTCAGAGTATGGTTGACTGTCTGATGATGACACAATAAGAGAATGGTCGCCTCAGGACAAAACTCGGGAATTTGCCGTAAAAGAAGCACACGTCCTCGCTTTACTAGGGATAAGTTCCGCCAGATCATGAGTAGAGATATTACCATATGCTCTTGACATGACTCACCTCTTCATAGACCTGTGCCAACCTCGTCTTTGGAGTAATAACCGTAGTCAATGTAACGCAACGCACGAGCCGCAATGCCTCAAGGTGTTAAATGAATGAGAAGGCCCGTGCGTGTGATGACTGCAGCGCTTATGCATTCTGAGGGCACCAATAGCGGCGGCACCTCGAAGGGTTAGACCTTCTAGTCAATATGCTCTGTTCATCCTCTGACGTGGACTGCAGGACTGAGACGGACTACGAGCGCGGCGATCAATCATGAGTATGGTAGTGACGCTTTGCAGTTATGCCAACATGGTAAGCGTCAAGTGTCAATAAATGTCGCTAAACCACATTTAAGGGTGAAGGGGCAGTGCCAGCAAATGGAACAACGGCTATTTAGCCTAGCGATCTCTGCAGTCCAAGAGTCACCGGTGTCGCTATTTCCGTCTTGTGTCAAGGCTTGTAGCTTATGTGTCCAGGGAATGGGTCGACACGAAGATTTGGAAAGTTAAAACTGAACTCTGTCAGGGCCGTAATCGAACCGATCTTTTCTTTTCACTTTGGAAGATGCCAAGCCACTACAAAAGGGGCATTTGATGGGTCTGGAGTCTTGATTTGCACCTTGCGTTATCGGAGGAAGAAGTGGGCTTTTATCCTTAGTTTGGACCTGGCCAGTCTTTAGTGAGGGGTTCAGTGTTTTGCTACGGTTATAGGATTGGCTAGGGTTTCATGATTGCGGCAAAAAAGGATCTGATCTGCTGTACTCCGTCGGCCATCAGAGGCACCACCAGTGTCTCTCGATCGTTGCCTGGCATTATCCCCGATCCAGCAACAGACGCCGAGCGTTGACCGCCGGGAGCAGATCAAGAGTAAGAACAAGAATAGCTTCTTTTGCTGCTTTTTCTGGCTTTTGGCACCCAGACTGGGCGGCTTATCCACCCGTTCCTGGGTCAGGCCCACTTGGTCCCTGGACTATTGGACTGAGCCTGATTTTCGCCGTGTTCCTCCGGGCTTAGCGTGATATGAAGAGAAAAGTTCTGACCAAGTCTGCGGCTTATTGGCTCCTTTACTGCACGTAGATGTAACCTCATTTCCGGAAGAGTGTCGGACTGTCGGCGGATTGGCCGGGTAAATGTACTAGAGAGTAGTCTGTTTGCCAAGGTATTGTGGACTAGACGTGTCTTCTCTTTTGAATACTGCCAGTAGGTCTTTGGTCTTGAGGAAGAGGGATTGAATGTTTACATGTTGTGAGAGGATAGCTGGCCTATACTTATCGTGTACCTCCACAAGGCTAAAGCACCTTGATGAATCCTGATCTACTTGTCCCAGACGGGAGATGTCCTAATCTAAATGTCGACTGTGGTGCGCGCGGATCCGGATCCAACTCATCTCGTTTAATAATTAGCCCCTCTGGCTAGACACTTGGGGGGATAGTGCCAAAGAGGTCCAAGAGTCAAATTTCCACAATTTCCCTTACAACCATTCAGACGAGGCTGAAATCCCCGCTAAAACATTGGTTTGGCTTGGTTCCGGGCCAAAATATCAGTAGCATCGACAAGAGCCGCAACATCCACCACTTGACAAAGTCTAACAGCCATGTCGCCTCAGCCTGGTCAAGGAGGGCATAGCCTCCATCATAAGAAGACGAGTTCGCCTTGCCCGTTGCGTTGATCTTTTTTTCCTTTCCTTTTCTGGTCGTCTGATTGTCCATCACTCGTTTGCCGATCGTATATAGATCCGTCCATTCTTTTGCAGACGATATAACACCACGCTCTACACCACCAATCCTACCTTACAATCATTCCACTTCCAATTATTAATTAAAATGCGTCTCTCAATTGCTTCTGTCGTCTCCTGCCTGGCGGCTCTCGCCATGGCCGCTACCAAGCCCGACTACACCCAGGACCCCACGGGAAATGCCATCGTCAAGCCCGGTCTGAACGAGCAGGTGCCTGCTGGAAAGCCCTACACAATCGAATGGGACCCCACGACCACAGGGCCGATCTCCCTGGTTCTCCTGCGCGGTCCCAGCACCAATGTCGTCCCCATTGCGACCCTGGCCGACAACATCCCCAACTCCGGTAGCTTTTCCTGGACTCCCAGCACCTCCCTCGAGCCCGACACCACCCACTACGGCCTCATGCTGGTCGTCGAAGGCACCGGCCAGTACCAGTACTCGACGCAGTTTGGTATCTCCAATCCAGACCACACTGGCTCGACTTCCAACTCGTCTTCGACGGCCACGACCGCGACTGAGACCAAGTCCTCTTCCGTGACCGAGTCTTCTTCTAAGCCCTCGACCACTGGCACGACTACTGCTACTGGTACCGCGACTTCTGGTTCAGTCAGTGCCGACACCACCACCACCTCGGAGACCTCCGCCACTACCCTAGTCACCCAGAGCAGCACCACTAATGCTCCTACCTCGACTGTGGTTGTGACTGTTCCTAACAGCACTGGCGGCTCTTCCGCGGTTGCCTCTGGCTCTCCCAGCCACTCCAGCCACTCCAGCACCCCGTCCGCCTCGGCGACCCTCTCGAACGGAGGAGACCGCAAGGCGATCAGCCTGGGGGCGGTCGTAGTAGGAGCATTCGCCGTGATGGCTTTTTAAAGTGATGGGACCGCAGCTCGGGTTGTGCTATGTATGTAGCGTAATAGCTAATGACTTTTCCTGAATATATACCCCTGGATATGAAATACAAGTATACTACTTTTATGGTTCGATCATCCCTTCAACGTGGGTGGCCTCTGTGACGTCACCATTGAAACTCTATATCTCCACATTCCAATTCTTCATTCTTCGGCCTTTTGATATACCAATCGGTCGCAATGCAATGGCTTCAGTATAGTAATTTCCGAGACTGACCACAGCAGAATACATGGAACCGGCACAATGACATCGCACAGCATCTCCGCACAGCAACTGACGGACATGCTGCCCATCGGGGTCGCCATCCTCAACCACCGCGACGAAGCGATCTTCACCAACCGCCGCTTTTGCGACCTCATGACCAAGTTCGACCCGCGCTCCTTCGACTGCTGGTCCCAATCCATCCATCCCGACGACCACGACCGCGTTGCGGAAGCCTACCACGAGGCCTCCCGCGCCCAACAGCCCCTCCGCATCCAGTACCGCACCTGCGACCATGACTGTCCCTGGCGCCTGCTCACCCTCAGCCCCATGGGCCCCGACGAGCTCGCCCTCTTCGGCCTCACCACCGCCGGCGGTGCCATCTGCACCATCGCCGACATCACCCAGGAAAAGACCGCCGAGCTCTCGCAGCGGAAAATCGCCGAGGAAGCGCAGCAGCGCAAAACACAGCAGGAGCGGTTCATCGACATGATCAGCCACGAGGTGCGGAACCCGCTCTCCGCCATCCTCCACTGCACCGAAGACATTCTCGAAGCGATACAACGTGCGCGCGAAGGGCAGAGCACGGCTGAGGAGACCCACACGACCATCGCAGAGGCGGCCGAGACGATCGGGCTGTGCGTCGCGCACCAGAAGAAGATCGTCGACGACGTGCTGACCTTCTCCAAGGTCGATGCCGGGATGTTGACTCTTACACCGCGCCGCGTGCAGCCGCGCACCCAGCTGGCCACCTCGTTGACGATGTTCCGGCCCGAGCTGCGCAAGGAGAACATCGAGCTCGACTACAAGCTGGATCATTCGTACGAGGAGCAGGGGATTGACTGGGTGATGGCGGACCTGGACCGCATGAGCCAGGTGCTGATCAACCTCGTCTCGAACGCGATCAAGTTCACCGCCAAGTCCGGCGGCGAGATGAAGGTGCGCGTGTCGATGGGCGCGTCCAACACGCGGCCCTCGTCGTATCCGCCGAACGTGGTGTTCTTCAACTCGGATGAGACGGCGTTGAGGTTGGACAGGACGAAGCAGCCGGAGTGGGGGGATGGGCCGACGGCGTATATCATGGTTGCGGTGCGGGACACCGGAATCGGGATCAGCGATGAAGCGCAGAAGCGGTTGTTTGAGCGGTTCAACCAGGCGACGCCGCGGACGGAGAGTATATACGGGGGCTCGGGGCTGGGGCTGAACGTCAGTCGGCGGCTATGTCATCTGCACGGGGGCGAGATCGGGGTGAGCTCGAAAGAGGGCGAAGGCAGCACGTTTGGCTTCTTCTTTGTCGTCCGCAAAAGCGGCAGGGTGGGAGAATCGTCCACCAGCCCGAAGGTTGAGATGGACCAGACCAACCGAAAGATCCAGTCGCTGGGAGATGAGATGACCAACGAGAACCACCAGATGACCTCGCCTGCCATTCCGGAGGACCCCGAGGTGACTTATATCGAAGAGATCAATCCCGGCTGCAATCCCGACGAGCGAAAGGACCACACGGCCAAAATAGCCG